CCATTCCACATTATTACAAATACAGCAACTTCATTTCTGGACATTTGTGGTTTGATTTGTTTGTATGTACGGATCACTTGGTTGTTACCGACAACTGGTGGAAATTTCATGTCATTAGCACCTCTAGTAATATATTTACTGAGAAAAATGGTGACGTGTTCAATACTTATTTTACCCACTGTATATAAGCTCCAGAGTCAACAAGTCAACAGTTTTGATTTAACCAACTGTGGTTAGTTTAGATGTAAAGTTAGTAAAAGCAAGCAGAGCTCCATTGGGAAACTTTTGCCCACACCACTGTGAAGTGTCAATCAAAGCGAACTCTTACTGCAAGGCAACAAAGAGCCCTTCTTTTTTGGCATTTTAGGATGTTTGAGTGACAAGTTGTAAAAATATGACATTAGCTACAAGCTAATAACTTCTTCAGATGGTAAAATAATTGATGCATTTGTATTATAATAACATTCTAATTAGAGATACACTGATCAGTTTCCTACATCGGTTTTCTGCCAATTCTGATTTTGGCTGATAAAAATAAAGTCTATCCATTCAGGACTCCAAGGCATTCTTAGACCAGCCAGGACACATGGTCTCCAGGGTGTCCTGGGTCTTCCTCAGGTTCTCCTCCCTGGGGAGAATCCCAGGGAGCATCCTTACCAGATGCTCGAACAACCTCAGCTACACACCGAGGTCTTTCCCAGAGAACTTCTCACCCTCTCTCTCTGAGTGAGCTTAGCTGTCCTGCGGAGAAACCTCACATCGACAGCCTGTATTCACAATCTCATTCTTTCAGTCACTAAAAGAGTTTGTATCTATAGGCGAGGATAAGTAGAGCTTTGCATTGCAGCTCAGTTCCTTACAATGGACCAGTATAGGGTACTCAGTATTAGCCTGTCCATCTCACCCTTTAGTCTTCCTTCAGAAAATGAAAACAAAACCAAAAACATGTTATTATTAGCGTGAATTAACTGCTGAGCTTTGGGGTGTTCACAAACTGGAAAAGTATTGGAATTTTTGAGTTTTGGGTTGGTCAAGCTGAAACTACTTCAATTCCATTCACCTTCCGTTTGATTGGTGCATCCCTAATTCTAACGTTTTTGATTTCTAAAAATCTTCCTGAGGAGTTCTTTGTGTAAAAATGTTATTTCTACGTAAAAATGTGCAGGTAAAGAAGACGGGAAGACATGTAAGCGGGTGGCAATCCGGACCACCATTAGAAAAGACGACTGCAGAAGTAATTCACCGGTAAGTGAGGGGGAGGGGCGGCAAGCGAGTAGTTATTGAAATGACACTGTTCCTGACTACATGGTCCTGTCTTCCTTCCAGGTTACAGTGTACTCTTGTGATGGGAAATGTCCATCCGCCACCATATTCAACTTTAACATAAACAGTCATGCCCGTTTTTGTAAGTGCTGCCGTGAGAGTGGACTGCAAACACGGACTGTCTCACTGTACTGCTCTCGCAATGCCACCATGGTGGACTACAACTTCCAAGAACCTCTGGACTGTTCCTGCCAGTGGAACTAAACCAGCTGGACATGTGAACAAAACGTGACAAATTAGGCAAATGTTTTATTAAAGGGATTTAAAGGGGCTTTTTGTTTTTATTATACTTATTGGACAAGCGTAAAACACCAGCCATTTTGTTTTGTTATACTAGCACACAGGACAACACTGACCTTGTGTTAGAGCTGCATCTGCTGTCTGTGGAAAATGAGTTTGTTTATATATTAGTTATCCATTTAATTAACAACTGCCGTGCCAACCCTGTCAGCTTTTAGTGTTTTCAGCTGATGGAAACTCTAGTGTTTTTATTCCAGTTCTTGCGTTTTTATGTAAAGTAGGTGCTGTTTGATAGCCTTGTGCTTTTGTTCCTAGAAATTGAAATGGCTTTTATTTTGCTTTTGTTTTTATTGTTTTAGGTAAAGCAGCCGATTAAACTATTTAAAAGTGTCACTGTCTACATTATTACAAACCTCTAGAACATTCACTTTTTACACACCCGTCCTAAGACAGAACTTATTAGTATATCTACAACTGTACAAGCATCCGTCTGTCTAACTGTGGACAACTCTTGAACGGGCTCTAAATCGATAACACTTTTAACGTTGAAATACCAAACTGCACTGCTGGACACCTCAAGGATGATCCATAAGGATTTCACAGCCATGGGGTCAAAGGTCAAGGTCACTCCTGTATTAAACTCTTGTTTATGCTCCAGCTTGTCATCCAAGTCACAGATTTGTCGAATTCCCCTGTTAACTAGATTGTTATGGAGGACATAACCTCCATAAAACAACACATTAAAACTTGGCCACAGTAGGATTGGGCTACATTGGCAAAACATTTTTATCAGGATTAGTGGCGGCATTTAGTCGATAACAATTAATTTGACGATTAATAGATGGCAATTGCACTTGCGTGCTTAAGACTTTAAATCAGTTACCCTGTGTTTCAATGAATCATCAGTCAAACTAACTTCTTAATTTTAACAACCATGTCTTGCCCTTGTGTTACTGCTTCTCAGCTCTAACTCTGACACTCATAAGAGCACTGCAAAAACTGTCCATCTTATCACGTTTTAAAATCTTGTATTAAGAAATAAGAAAAAATTGAGTCAAATCTAGTATTTCAAGAATCTTACCAAGTAAAATTTTCTTACTCCGTTGGCAGAAATTTTTGACTTGATTTGAGTCAAATTTTCAGACTAACAAGACAAATAATCTTACACATTCTGAAAACAAGATTATCATTCTTACACAATCAGTTCTTGTTTAGTAAATCAGTGTCAAAACAAGATCAAAAAGACTTTTTGGTTGGATATAAGATTTTAAAGCTTGGTTAGGTGGACATTTTTTGCAGTGAGAAAGATTGATTGAGATCATAGTGGGTTTTCAGCTGATTAGATTAATTCCCACGATTCACTTGAGGAGAGTTTGCTGTGCTAGAGTTACTGTTAGCGTTAGCTGCTCTGCCCCGCTTTCTGCCATTGGGCTCACTTTATAATGAGAGTGCATCGCAGTCAAAAATACGTCGTCATCACATGGAATTAACAGCAGTAATTGCAAAATGGTAACTATCAGTTGTTGACAGTTTTCCGACGATTAATTGCACACTGTATGATTTTGCCCAAACCTAAATGCTTAGAATACAAAATGTCATCAGACTAAAGCTCCACATTGGATCTTTTTTTTTTATTAAAACCACTTCCACCAAATATATATTTTAGTGTTACTTCATATTGTAACTGATAGCTGCACTTTAATGTTCTTTAACTGAACTCTTTGTGGATTTACACCATAGATAACATCATCAGTGAAAATCAGAGTTGTAAAGTAACTAAGTACAAATACTTTGTTACTGTACTTAAGTAGAAATTTTGGTTATCTGTACTTTACTTGAGTAATTATTTTTCAACATACTTTTTACTTTTACTCATTACATTTTTACACATTTTTCTGTACTTACTAATCATTACATTTAAAAAAAGGTAAGAAGTATAAAGTCATTACTCCTATTTTATTCTGAGTTGTTATTGCTTAAAAAAACCATCCTGATAAATTGTGTCTCCTGGATAGAGTGAATTTAATTGTGGTTGGATGAGAAGTATAAATATATACCATTCTGACACCCTATTAGCTTGTACACAACCCATCACAGCTGCACGCTGTTAGAAAAAATATTTTTTGGAGAAGTCACCTCCCAATACATGCCATTTTGGAAAATCTGACTGCTCACTTTTACTCAGTACTTTTACTTTTAATACTTAAATAGATTTTGTGTCAGAAATTTACTTTTGATACTTAAGTACAAAAAATATCAGATACTTTAAGACTTTTACTCAAGTAATATTTTTACAGAAGACTTTAACTTTTACCAAAGTATTTTTATGATAAGATACTTGTACTTTTACTCAAGTATCACTTTGAGGTACTTTATACAACACTGGTGAAAATGACCTTTCACCCCACCACTCTGACAATTTCCTGACAGAGCTAATATGTATTATTAGCAGCGGTCTTGTTTTATTCAGCGTCTGTGGTGCTGACCCGTGTTTACATTTCACTTCTGAGAGGTTATTGCTCAGTGGGAGTCGCCCTCTTCACAACACAACTCCTCGGTGGCCTCTTCTCTTTATTTCCCATCAATCATTTCTCCCCTCGCATTCCTGTCATTCCACGCCCGCCGGCGCTCCCGCCGCACCCAAACGTCTGAGCCAAAACCACGCTGTCCAAGAAAAAGGGGGCTACAATTTGCAGCACATTCCAGTTCCAGAGGGCGACTGATGTCACGAAAACTAAATTCTGTGTGGCTGAGAGCGCACACAAACAGGCCCGTGGCACATCCACAGCTCGCCACATCCCTTCTCCTCAGGACCTCAGCACTGGAGTGGCCCTGGCTGCCATGGTGACCTGTTCTTATCCCGACAAAGAGGCCGAACAAATTGGCTTGAACGAATACAATCTCAGCCCCGCACTCTTCTCCTTCACTCCTCCTTTGACACACAGAAGAGCTGCCGCCTCCTTCACGAGAGGTTTGCTGTGCGTCAGCGACCTGAATAGCGTTGGGACTTTCCACAGCTGATGTAAAGTTTGGGGTTTCCGCGAAAGGCTGAAATCACAACTCGGATTCGACTATCATAAAAACTGCAAATTTATTCTGGTGACAAAGACACAGTTGCAGCTGAGCTTTGGGAGATATGTGACAACAGTAAAAGCATTTCCAATGCCTGGAACAGAGCAGCTTTTGTTACTGTGCAGTTTATGTCAGGTAAGGTTCACATGCAGTTAATTATGTTTCATAAGTATTTGTGTTTTGTACAACAGAACTTGTAACTTGTAAAACAGTTTGAAAATTTTAACTGTGTACTTGTGAACTTGTAATTGTAATGTTTTTTAATCTACAAGTTCTGTTATACAAAACACAAATAATAAAGAAAACTTATCAGCTTCATACTTTATTCTCCACTTTTCTCTCTTCTTCACAGGTGGCTTTACTGACCTGTGAGCTACGCCTGCAACCTGTTGAGGTTGAGGTGGTTTTTGCGCCCTTCCCCTCCAAACAAGACCCGGATGGCTACACGGTCACATGCAGATCTGCCGGGAACCCTCTGGTGAGAACAGACGTGTAAATTCACAGGTCCGATCCTTTCTGGTTTGAGTTTCATTTCCTATCTGTTGTCGCACCGTGTTGGCAGATGAAAACGAAGCGTATTGATCGCTCAGCGTGCTCACCTGACTGCAGGATATTATTCCACCTGACTGAAGACCGAAGGGGACATCACGTCATACTGAGAGCCAGCAAGAATGAGTCAATGCTTGAAGAGAAGACCTTTCACTTTAGTGAGTGGCTTCAAACTCTAAATCAGGGGTGCCCAAAGATTTTCCTTGAGAGGGCCAAAACTAAAAACCATTTTCCCTGGGGGCCAAAATTGAAATCAGTCTAAGTGGGGTGAGCCAAATGCAATAATATAATACATGAAATGCAAATACTTCTCAAGTAAAGTTGCATTTTTTTTATTTAAGTTAGCAGCCATTGTGGTTGTCCACATTCTTTTGTTTGGTTGGTTATTTTTCAGCCCATGAACATGGAGAAAATCCGGCATAATAAATATTTCATGTTTCATAATTTTAAATTTTGAGTATATGTGGTCTTGTAAGGTGTGAAAATCTAGATATGGACTTAAATCTAAGATAAATGTCTCTTGAAGTTACTTGTATTTTATATTTAATCTTAACACAATTCAAAGAAAGTCAGTGCCATGAGTTAAGACTATCTGACTACAGCTCCTTGCACGTATAGTTGGACCAATTGTTGAAAAGACTAAGTGAAAATATAGTGTTTCTGCATAAGACAGATTACAATCTAGTAACCAGGACAACCGGTGGTGGGCCAAATCAAATGGCTTGGCGGGCCCCACATTGGGCACATCTGCTCTAAATCATAAATATGGAGATTTTACACTTATTTTGTAGTTTTTAATGTCTGTGCAGACGTCACAGAATTCATGATGTTCTAACAATAATTGCTTTCTGTGAACCATATAAAACGTTTGTAAAATCTTACTTTCTGCTTGTTTTCACAGCTCCAGTGTCCCGGTCCTCCTTTCATGCCGTCAGCACCACCACTACTGCCCAGCTGACATGGAACCTCCACCAGCTGCAGAGTGTATCCACCCTGACTCTTTACGACACACACTCACAATCTGTCGCGCACGTCTTCCACCTGAGCTCCTCAGAGACCAAGTCCCGGTACACGATGAAAGGTCTTCAACCTGGCACAAACTTCAAGGTTGATGTAAAAGTGGCTTCTTTCTTCACAAACCCTGAGCTCAGCTTGAAGCAGAAACTCCATATATTTCTGGAAACAGGTAATTTTTTACAGACAGAAATACATATTTTTGGCACTAATGGAACTCCATACACTGTGACAAAGTGAGCTGTGAAACTGACTGCAGGTTTGGGTTTGTGGTGTGGTGTCTGCTTCTAGCCCAGTGTCCACACGGCTGGTTGGCCAGTGGGAGAAGCTGCTACAGTGTGAGGAGGTCAGGTCTGAGCTGGAGCCACGCTCAGCACAGCTGCACCGGCCTGATGACCGGAGGCCACCTGGCTGACCTGAAAACTGCAGAGGATCTGCTGTTTGTGTCGTCTCACCTCCTGACTGAAGACAACCTGCTGCTGCTGTGGACAGGACTTAACGATCAGCAGGTCATAAAAAAAACACTTGAAATTTTTTTCAAAATGATTTTTTTATCAAATAGGTGTGTAAGGCACAGAAAAATAGTCTTTCTAATTTAGTTTAGTTTAGTTAGTTTAGTTTAGATAGTTTATTAATTTCTTTTAAAACATAAAACAATTTTTTTTGTACACATTAAAAACAAAAATCTAAAAAATCCACAACTTATACAGCGGGTAAAATAAGTATTGAACATGTCAACATTTTTCTCAGTAAATATATTACTAGAGGTGATAATGACATGAAATTTTCACCAGATGTCGGTAACAACCCAAGTGATCCATACATACAAAGAAATCAAACCATAAATGTCCAGAAATGAAGTTATTTGTAATAATGAGGAAAAACGTATCGAACACATGAAGAAAGGGAGG